AAAGGAAGAAAATATAGGCTTTATTCTCTGATGATAATATAGTGAGAGTAAAAGGTAAAATTGGCTAATTTGTTGTGTGGGTTTTTTTTTTTTTTTTTTTTTTTTTTTTTTAGTGGCGGGGGTGGAGTCTCTGTCACCCAGGATGGAGCGCAGTGGCATAATCTCGGCTCATTGCACCCTCCGCCTCCTGGATTTGAGCAGTTCTCCTCCCTCACCCTCCTGAGTAGCTGGGACTACAGGCGCATGCCATCATGCCTGGCTAGTTTTTTGTATTTTGGTAGAGACAAGGTTTCACCTTATTGCCCAGGCTGGTCTTGAACTCTTGAGCTCAGCAGTCTGCCCATTTCAGCTTTCCAAAGTGCTAGTATTACAAGTGTGAGCTGCTGCGCCCGGCCTGTTGTATGTTTTTAAGCCCCTACATTTTGCAGAAGAAAAAATACTTCTGAGGAGCATTTGGGTCATGGAAGAGACCAAGAACCCAGGGCTGGATGGTTTATAAAATATAATTTAATGTGCTGTGCTGTATATGAAAAATGTTGATATAGGGCCACAGTTGTAGTTTGTAAAGCAGACGTATCTGTCAGTGTTCTTACTAGCAAAACAAGTTCAGCTCAGCTGAAGTTTATTATAGTTTAGCTAAGGAACCAGAAATGTACCCAAAGGAACAGAGAAAGAATGAAATACTTATCAGAACTACTAAGTAAATTTTAAAATATTCAGACTTGAGGCTGGGCGTGGTGGCTCACGCCTGTAATCCCAGCACTTTGGGAGGACGAGGCAGGCAGATCAAGACCATCCTGGGTAACACGGTGAAACCCCATCTTTACTAAAAATACAAAAAATTACCAGGTGTGGTGGTGGATGCCTGTAGTCCCAGCTACTCGGGAGGCTGAGGCAGGAGAATCACTTGAACCCAGGAGTGGGAGGTAGCAGTGAGTTGAGATTGCGCCACTGTACTCCAGCCTGGGCAACAGAGGGAGACTCCATCTCTGCTTCTCAATTTAAAAAAAAAAAAAAAAAAAAAAAAATTAAGACTTGATCAAATTAGTGAAAATGAAACTTTAGAAAATAATGAAATAGACAAATGGCATCTTTTGAGAAATAGGTCTTTTATTTTTAATTAATTATTTTAAAATTTTTTTTTGCGATAGGGTCTCGCTCTTGCTCAGGCTGAGTATAGTGGCACAATCACAGCTCACTACAGCCTCAATATTGTGGGCTTGAGCAATCATCCCACCTCAGCCTCCCAAGGAGCTGGGAGTACAGGCATGTACCACCATGCCCAGCTAATTTTATTTTTTAATTTTGTAGAGGCCAGGTCTTGCTATGTTGCCCAGGCTGGTCTCAAACTCCTGGCCTCAAGTGATCCTTCCTCCTTGGCCTCCCAAAAGTGCTGGGAATACAGGTATGAGCCACCAACCTCTGCATTAGTCACCAAGGTGATGATAGTGAGAAGTAGAGAGCCTAAGTATTCATATCAGAGAGTGAGGTGAAAACTCCTGAGCGTGCCCCTGACAAAGTACTCAGCCTGTCCTTAGCCCAGCAAGGTTTCTAAAATGCTAATACAGTGGTAATTCTCCTGTTACAGAGCCATTTCTAATCATGGGAAAAGAAAGGGAGCCACCTGTTTGTGCTCTTAGGCAACTGTTGTTCAGTTTCCAACCCTGAAGTCAAGAACAGCCAGGAAAAGGGAGCAGTCTCACACCGAGGGTGGTGTGCACTGAATACACTGTGGCCAGTGAGCCAAGGGTGGACTTCGTTTATTAATTAAATAAATGTTTATTAAATCAAAATATACCTCCAGGGCCTGCTGCCTCTAGGTGGCTTGTACAGGGAGGTGATACCATCTACCCCTGAGGAGGCTTGGAGACTGAATTAGAGGCCACCCTGGCCTGCAGAGAGCTTTCCAGGCCCCTTGCCCCTGCTTGCTGTTGACAGTCCACCCTCCTTGCCCAGCCATCCCCTAGCCCCAACAAACATGGAACCTGTCAGCTTTGCATGCGCCATGCCCTCCTCGCCTCTGCCCCACTGCTTCATCTCTACCCGTTGTGGTCACAGGAGCTTTCTCTTTTCCCTTCTCACCAGGCATGGTAAGAAGCAGAGATTAGGCAGGTGGGCTTTGGACACCAGGCCAGGAGTACTTTGTGCTGTGGCCCTCACTGTGTGCTGTTGAATGATTGTGCCTTTGCATGTGACTCAGCCAGCATCAGCATTTTGTTTTATTTATTTTTTATTTATTTATTTTTGAGACAGAGTCTTGCTCTGTCACGCAAGCTAGAGTGCAGTGGCACGATCTCGGCTCACTGCAACCGCCATCTCCTGGGTTCAGACGATTCTCCTGCCTCAGCCTCCCGAGTATCAGGGACTACAGACATGGGCCACTATGCCTGGCTAATTTTTTGTATTTTTAGTAGAGACGGGAGTTTCACCATATTGGCCAGGCTGGTCTTGAGCTCCTAACCTCAGGTGATCTGCCTGGCTAGCATCAGCATTTTAGTCCATTTCTTGTAATGCTGAGTGAACGATATGAGCCCTCAATAAAGGAATTGTGGCATCAGCAGTTCGGAGAAGAGGGGCACCGTTTTACAATGGGAAGGAACATTCTGAGGGTGCTGATCCTGACAGGGTTGGGGTCAGCTGTGGCAAAGTATGTGAGGAGGTGTGGGTAGCAGCTGCTTCTGATTCCCCACTATCCTTCCACCCTGGGGCACGTCTGGGCTATGGCACCTAGGGGGAGTACTGTGGCACCCATCAGAGCCATCAGTGTGACATCTGCCTGTGCTCTTGACAGTGTGATGCGATAGCGGTTGTCAGCTTCCCATTGGCTGGCCCCAGTGATCCTTTCTGGAGGGTGCAGAAACTCCTAAGGGTCTTCCAGAGTTGGGTCGTTGCACATTGATAAGTGCAGTGCTGCCACATACCCTTCTTTCTAGTGCCCACTCAGTCACCTTAACCAAAACTTCCCTGAGCCCAGCATGGTGCTGGGTGCTGGGTTGATGCAGGGAAGTTCTACCCAGTCCTGCCCTGAAGAAAGTGACCCTGTGTGTGTGTGTGTGAGAGAGTGAGCAGTTCAATGCTAGGCCTCCTATATCCAGAGCACACAAGAGGACTGGATTAGCCAGGCATGGTGGTGCGCGACTGTAGTCCCAGCTACTCGGGGGACTGAGGCTGGAGGATTGCTTGAGGTCAACCCAGGAGGTTGACGCTGCAGTGAGCCAAGATGGTGCCACTGCACTCCAGCCTGAGTGACAGAGTGAGACCCTGTCCCTCCTCCCCAACCCCCTGCCAAGAAAAAAGGGCCTGGAGTGACTGAGGGCTAAGACTTCCCCAGGTGTCAGGAAGGTTTCCTGGAGGCGGAAGCACATCACTGTGAACAATTATCCACCGTAGTGTTAGCTATTTGTTGTCCATCAATGTCTCCTAATCACAGAGGAAAGATGAGTTTTCTGGTGGTCAGAATTCTGGATAGATAGGCTGCTTTGGCTTAAAAGCACATTAGCTATAAACCAGTGGTAAAGCCAGAGTTTTGTTCCCGGGATTAGCTGCCTCTTGCCTGTGCCATTTCTGAGACTGTGTTAACCCCCCATGCCTTGTCCTTCTCTTGGCAGTAATCCAGTCCCTCATAGCACTGGTGAATGACCCCCAGCCCGAGCACCCGCTTCGGGCTGACCTAGCTGAAGAATACTCTAAGGACCGTAAAAAATTCTGTAAGAATGCTGAAGAGTTTACAAAGAAATATGGGGAAAAGCGACCTGTGGACTAAAATCTGCCACGATTGGTTCCAGCAAGTGTGAGCAGAGGCCCCGTGCAGTGCATTCAGACACCCCGCAAAGCAGGACTCTGTGGAAATTGACACGTGCCACCGCCTGGCGTTCGCTTGTGGCAGTTACTAACTTTCTACAGTTTTCTTAATCAAAAGTGGTCTAGGTAACCTGTAAAGAAAGGATTAAAAATTTAAGATGTTCTAGTTCTGCTCTCTTTGTTTTAAAAATCACTGCTTCAATCTATTCCAAAAGAATGGTGTTTCTTTTCTTGTCCAATTTTATCCAAAATCTTCAAGTTGCATTTAGCCCATAATGTTTAAAAAAAAGGAAAAAAAAGGTTGTGGTTCCCTTTCTTCCCTACCCTTGCCACTCCCACTTTCTGGCACCGAGTTTATTTTTCACTTACTTCCCCAGACCCGGGGCCCGCCTCCACAAAAGAGAAGAGACTGCCCTGGCGGTCCTGGTGGCTTTTCTTAGCACGTGTGGGACTGTTGCCCAGTGTGGGAGTTGGTTTAAATTCTCCTGACTCCAGTTTATAACATCCTTTTAAAAAATTTAAAAACAAACAGCTACACCCCTCCTCCAGTCCTTCTCCTCAGTTCTTGTGTGAATCTCCAGCTGATGTTACCAACAGTAACATCAGTTAATTGGGCAAGCCCTGATGTCAGTGTGTGTAACTGACCTCTGGCCTGGCCTGCACAGACAAACCCTATAATCACAGGTCTGTAGTGGCCCCGAAATGGGGGGCCTGCTAGTCAGGAGGATGCTGTGCACACTGTGTGTGATGAATCTCGCCGAAAGGCTCCTGATGTCCCAGGTTGGCACTTCTTCCTGCAGCCATTGTAGAAGATCTGCTGGTCCTTGCAGGCAAAGCTACAGCCAGAATGTCCGTTTGAAATTCCCAGCTCATCTGTCACCGAGTTTCATCTGAATGTGCCACGGAGCTTGCTCTCCACTTCCTCTGTGCAGCGGCCCCGCCACAGCCCTCCCTCGGCACACTTTGACCCTTTGTAGGATTGGAATTAGCAGGACTTGGCTATTTAAAGCACCAGTCTGGGGTCTCCTGGGCCCCTGCTGACCCCTTCCTCCAGAGCAGCTGGCCCAGCCCGGGAACAAGACGGACTTCCTCTCCCTTTGGACTCACAGCCTTTGCAGAGTCAAGCTCCACTTGAAGCTCACTCAGTAATATCCTTTCAATGTGTTTTATATTGTTTTGACTGCCTTTTTTTGTAGAAATAAAAATTGACCTTAGAATTTATCATCAGATAAACTTGTAAAGATTTGAATATTAATGTCTTTTCAAGGCAAATGGGATTGTCCCCAAACTAGTAGAGAATCTGTGTCGCTCTGACACCCCAAGGAAGCCGACGATCCAAATGCCGTGTGTCACCAACCCTGCTTCTTCCACTGGCGGCTTCCCTTCTTGGCTTTTGGGGGGACTAGATCCTGTGGAGAAGATGACTTAAACTTTGCTTTTTGTTTTAATTTTAATTCTAGATCTTTCCGGTCTGATCTGTGCAGAAGTGGGGAGTGATGGGCAGGTTAGGCAGCCTAACATCATTCAGGCGTGTGGCCCCTGTGGTGTGTACATGAACTCAGCTTCTTTTGTCCTAGGTACGCCAAGGGCAGGTTTCTGGAGACTCGTGTGCCCAGGATGGCAAGGGCACCGGGCTGGCGTTTCCGTATATGTCTCTTCATTAGCAGAAAAATGATGATGGATTTTATTTCACTCACACTCCAATTTGTAATAAAATGCCAAATTCTGTCAGAAACTATCTAAATAAGCCACCATTTGTTCTTGTTGCTTCTCTGGATCCAGAAATGTTGCCATTCTTGGAAACTGTCCCATTGCTTCATATTTCTGCCAACGTAGCTCTGCCTGCCTGTCACCCCCTCACTGCGCTCTGCTCACCACGGGAGGATACCTGTGTGCCAGCAGCCCCTCAGGGACTCTCAGCCCTGGCACTGGCACCCCAGGGTTGGCCCCGTCAGCAGAGGCCTGGCTTTCGAGCCAGTGGGTGTCTCTCCTTCAGGCCTGGGCGACTTGCTCCTGCCAGCCATGCCCTCAGGGTAGGCTCTGAGCAAGCTGGTGAACAGCCTTGGCTGCTCCAAAACCAAAAAGCTGGGTCCTCTGGAGGAGGGGCGAGCTGTGGAGCAGCCACCCACTGCTGCCCCTAGCTCACTCAGGAATTCACACCCGCCTGGTTTCTTCAAGTGTGCCGGGTCCTTCCCTCTGCTCCCCACTCCCCACCACGGCAGAGAATAGGCTTTCTAAGATGCTGCGATCCCGTTCTGCTGCCCTTAATAAAAATGCTCTCAGACACTGGTTAGTTGTGTGGGTTTCTTCCTTCCTGGGAGCGGGCAGTGCCAGGGGCCTGTGCTCTTGGAGATGGGAGGGCTGGCTGTGGCCCAGGTCCTGGGGCTTCTGATCTCTCTCCCCATTCCCAGCCTCTCCAAAAGAGGTACATAGAGGTGTTCCTGCCTCCCTAGAGGGAAGGAGATGAGGTATAATCAACGAAAAAGCCAGACTCCAGACAGTCGGGGCCTGCAGAGGGCGCTCTTGGGTGTCTTGTGAGGGGACAGGGACTAACGTGTGGGTGTATCACTTACATGTGGGAGTCATCCTGGAGCCCCCTGGGAGTGTTACGATCCGTGTTTTGAAGAGGCAAACCTGGGGTCCCAAGAGGTCACAGAATTAATAAGGGTGTGCCTGAGGGTGGAGCTGGACCATGTCCATGAATGGTGCCAGCCAGAAACACTATTTGAGTCCCCCAGTACAGCCCGCTGCCGGGTGCTGCAGCAGTGGTGCTGACTCAGCAAGGGCTGAGCCAGGCCCAGGACTTTTTTGGCCAGGCCTTCCCTGCCTAGAATTTGACACCTGCTGAGACCAGGCCTGCACTGTCAGCTGGATCTGCAGGTCTTAGGGAAGGAAGCTTCCTGGGGTATCATTTTACTAGCCTTTAACATACCTAGCACTTTACCCTCTGAGTCTCAGGAGGGCCCTGTGGCATCCTTATCCCTGCTTTTAAAGACAACCAAGACCCCTGGCCTGTTTTTGTTCACATTCTGACTGCAGAGCCTGTTGCATTCCACCACTTGGCACGTTTCCTCCCACAAGGTCCCTCTGAGCCCAGAAACAGCCAGTTACCCCCCTCCCCAAAGCCAGAGACCTTTAAGCCCCTCTGTCAACTTCCTCTTTCCTGCAGCCACCAGCCACCAGTTTTGGCCTTGTTCACTATTAATTGTTCAGCTTGAAATAAGCATCCATTTCATCACTCCTGTACCTGCCACAGCCTGACTTCTGTCACCTGCTGCCCCTTGCTGCTGCTCCTTTCATTTGGTGCCATCTAACCCAGCCCTGAAAGAAGCCAGAGCTGCTCTCAGGATTTCCCACCCTGTCCTGCCCACCTCTTCCTCCTCTCCCTGCTTCCTGGGTATGGCGTGGGCGAAGGGCACCAACCCGGAACAGAGGGGAGCTGAGGGTCCCATTGCTCCCAGTGCAGTGCAGTGCAGTGCTTGGCCCAGGCCATGCCTGGTAATTGGCCATTTCCCAGATTATTGGAATGTGTTCTTGTTCACTGACGGTTCCTAGGGAACCCTGGAGGCCTCAGAGGATCAGAGTGGAAAGGACCACCGTGCAGAGGCCATAACTGAGGCCCTGGGAAGGAAGTCACTTGCAGAGAGCATTCCCCACCCTGTGCTGGCCAGGTTTGGAAACCCCCCTGTGGCTCCACACGTTGCCACAGGTTTCTCCTACATCTTCCTGTGTCACTGGATGACTGTCCTTGTGTGTACCAGACTGGGAGCTCCTTGCAGACCAGGCCGTTTCAGCTCCAGCCCTGGCCTGGCACAGAGTGGACCCTCCAGACACGAATGCTGAGTGGGTGGGTAACAGTGAACCACTTGGCTAAGACATACTCCTGTTGCTGCCCCCACAACCCCCGTGGGCCACAAGTCACCACTCTAACAGGTCCTTATCACTTTCACCTCCTCGTGAGGAGGGCCTCATTATAATCAGGTGGGCCTGATTATCCTGTGAGTCTGTGGCCCCTCACTTCACTCTTTTTTTTTTATTTGAGCCGGGCTCACTCTGTCGCCCAGGCTAGAGTGCAGTGGCATGATCACTGCTCCCTGCAGCCTCTACCTCCCAGGCTCAATCGATCCTCCTATCTCTGCCTCCTGAGTAGATAGAACTACAGGCTCGTGTCACTACACCCGGCTAATTTTTGTACTTTTTATAGAGACAGGGTTTTGGCATGTTACATAGTCTGGTCTCGATCTGCTAGCCTCAAGCCTTCCTCCCGACTCAGCCTCTCAAAGTGCTGGGATTACAGGCGTGAGCCACTATGCCCAGCCATTATTATTTCTTTTTAAAATAACAGAAATGAGGTCTTACTGTGTTGTCCAAGCTGGTCTCGAACTCCAGAGCTCAAGTAATCCTCCCACTTAAGCCTCCCAAAGCGCTGGGATGATAGGTGTGAGCCACTGTGCCTGGCTTGGCCTCACTCAAATGCTCATGGTCAGCAGGGCACTGTGGCTGACGCCTGTAATTCCAACACTGAAGGAAAGGCCAAGGTGACCAGATCTCTTGATCCCAGGAGTTTGAGACCAGCATGGGCAACATGCCAAAACCCCATCTACAAAAAATAAAAAATGAACCAGACATGCCTGTGTTCCCAGCTCCTCGGGAGGCCAAGGTGGGATGATCACCTGAGCCTGGGGAGGTCGAGGACTGCAGTGATTGTGCCACTGTACTCCAGCCTGGGTGACAGGATGAGATCCTGTCTTTAAAAAAAGGTTCATGGTCCCTAGGGCTGCTGTCGGCTCTTTGCTCATCCCTCCTTCCCTCCGTGGGTGACAGTAGCCACTCATCTAGCATCTGTGCAGATGCCCAGATCTCTCCTGCCCACCCACACCTCTCTCCTGAGCCTAGAGCTGCACAACCAGCTGCCTGCTCCTCTCAGAACACTTCCATAACAGAAGCCCCTCAAGGGAGCTGCGTCTGTGCCTCTGGCTAACTTCAGGCCACCCCTCTCCCAGCCCCAGCCAGGAGTGTGGCCAGATCTCATTAGGCTGAGGCGAGGACATGGAGGCTAGGCAGCAGGAGGAGCCACCGTACAGTGTGATTCCAGCTCACAAGCATGGGTGCAAGAAACCAGGAAAAGGGCTGTGGATGGGAGAGTCCAAGTCTAGTGAAGGTCAAGATGGAAGACGAGTGTGGAGCCAGAAAAAGGGACTGAAGCCGCAGTCAAGGGGATGGGGCATGGGTGGGTAGAAGCAGGAAGGCAGAGAGACATCCCACACTCACCCTTCAGAAAGCCACACGACCCTCCAAGCTGCCTAGGCTGGGTGAGAGCTCTCTTGGCCACTGATTCCATGTTTGACCCAGGCTAGGGCCTGGTGCACATTAAATAAATGAATGAGTAGTTTCAAAGCCCTGTTCTGCCACTCCTGTCTCTACCCCTGTAAAATGGGGAGATTGGTGCCTGCCTCCTAGATGCTATTTCATGAAATGAGGTAAGAACCACATGGTATTCCATCTGCCTTTCCATCCTCCGGAGTGGGGCAGAAGGACTCTGTGCTCCAGAGGACTCCCACTGCCTTCCCCATCTGCTCCTGCACCTCAGGAGCTTTCGCCTAAGCCACATGGGGCCCCTGTCCACAGGGCATCCCTACATTGCCAGGTCAAGTTAGGAACCTCGGTATCCCATTTCCTGGGAAGACTGTTCCTCCTAGAAAAATTTAAATGTATTCCCACGGGGTTGCAAGGTCTCCTCACACCTATCCCCTAGAATGGCTTACATCTAAACAGATGACTTCTTTTTCTTTTTCTTTTCTTTTTTTTGAGACGGAATTTCACTCTTGTTGCCCAAGCTGGGGTGCAATGGCGCAATCTCGGCTCACCACAACCTCCACCTCCCGGGTTCAAGTGATTCTCCTGCCTCAGCCTCCGGAGTAGCTGGGATTATAGGCAGGCACCACCAATGCCCAGCTAATTTTGTATTTTTAGTAGAGATGGGGTTTCTCCATGTTGGTCAGACTGGTCTCAAACTCCTGACCTCAGGTGATCCACCCGCCTCGGCCTCCCAAAGTGCTGGGATTACAGGTGTGAGCCACCGCACTCGGCCTACAGGTGACTTCCAAAAATCAATACTAAGATTATAGTATTATGCCTCTTCAAAAGCAGCCTGGTGAGGACAGTCTTCTCCCACTCCCACCCCCTAAAAAGGAATAAAGAAAACCGCAGCATGAACAAATGAACAAAACCAGAATGGAGAATGGGCCATTTCCTGGAGTGGTTTGAGCCAAGAGGGTTGTCCCTGCTTGTTTCTGTGAGGGTCTCCTGGGCAGAGCTAATAAACCACCCAAGTTTGAAAGACACACGTTATTTTATTAATCTAGCCATCTCTCCCCACTGCCCCAGTGGTGAAGGTGTTTGCACTGCAGCATGGAGGGGCACCAAACGCTCTGCGGGCCCTAGCCCGCTGCCACAGGATGGACCCGCCTGCAGCCAAGAAGGCTGCTCAAACTCTAGATGCCATTTGGAGCCATGAGGACCTGGGCCCAGACGTGGCAGTGTCCTACCCAGGGAAGTCAACAGACCCTGCTCCAGGGACCGGTTCTGGGCTGGGCCAGGACTAAATCCTGGCTCCCCTTGCTTGGTAGTAAGGGGATTAGTGCTTGGTTGTCGGTAGCGGGTCAGAGTAGGGAGGATTCCAGGAAGGGTTCCAGAGTGGCCTCACAGGGGACCTCCTCCCCTGGCCTCTTGGAGTCCAGGTCGTCGAGGGCGCAAAGCTGCACGCCATCCTGGGCAAGCCGGGTCCGCAGCGTGGGCGCGGTGAGGACGCGCAGCTCATGCAGCCGCTCCCAAGAGCAAGAGAAAGCGTCGGGGCCTTCACCGCAGCCGCCGGTGGGAGGCACACTGGGGTAGCCGGGGTGCGCCATCAGCTCGGCTGTGAGGGTGTGGCCCGCTAGGGTACCTTCCAGGACCCGCGCCAGGGCCCCGGACACGCGGTGAGCGGACATGTGCCGGCCGCAAGTGCTCAGACCCACGAAGGCGTCTGTCCACCTGTGGTGGGCGGGTTATCAGCCGCGGGGCCAGGCCGGGCCATGGCCAGGGCTAGGCTAGGGTAGGGTAGGGTAGGGACTGGGGGCGGGAGGGGGGAACTGGGGTGGCGGCAGCGATCGACGCCAGACTCGCTTCCGGGCTGAGAAACGGTCACAGCTAGCCAGGTGAATAGTCAGTGCGGAGGGATTGGGGCAGCTATGGTAGGAGACAGGGCGGGAAGCCTTACCGCAGGCCGTGGTGGGAGAAGGGGCCCACGGCGGCCCGGGCGTCGCGCTCCACGGCGCAGGCGAAGGCGCGCGCGGGGGCCTCCAGCCAAGTGCAGCCACCCACACCGCGCTCCAGCGGCAGTCGCGTAAAGCGCACCCCATAGGCCTGCAGCGCCTCGGCGAACACCTGGCACACGCCTGCGGGCGGAGCGGGTCTAGGAGGAGCACGTCCCTTCACCTGGGGGCATCGAACTTCCCCTACTTCCCCAGCCCCACCTGGGAGTAAACGCCTTTCAAACTGGGATCACCAACCACGCACCTGGGAGCACGTGCACGTGCTGGTGGCCATCCACGTGCGTGGGGGCCCTGCCCATCAGCTCCCGGAAGCAGCTTAGTTGGGCCTCCAGCTCCTCCCGCACCTAGAGGGCGAGCGAGAGACACCTTGAGCAACCGGGAGTAGCTGCCGAGGACACCCTCCTCGTGCTGCCGTGTGACCGCTCCAGTGTTTGAATGAAGAAGTCATCCACCGCCATCTCCTAATGGCCTCACAGTACCCTCCGGGCGGAGCTCTGGGGGTCCTCGCAAGCATCCTCCTGCAGCTGCGGCTCCGCACCTGAGGCAAATCCACGTCTCCGGCCGCCACCGCCTCCCGGAATCCCATCTTGCCAAGGAAGAAGCCTTCGGGGCCGAGCAGCGACGAGGCGCCACGGCGGGCCGGACCCACTGGGCGGCCCTCGGACAGGTTGGCGTGGAGGCCCGTGGGGATGCTGTGCCTGAGGGCGGAGCGCGAGCTGGAGCACTGGCGGCCGCGGAGCAGCGCGCCCCAAGCCGATCGCCGCCCTGCTAGGGGCCCTCCCCTCACCTGCGGGCCAGCTCCGCCGCGCTCTCCGTGGCCGCACCGTTGACCAGCAGGGACACGCTGGTCACGGCCCCGGCCAGAAAGGCCTCCACGATGCCTTCATCGCGTCGCGGGCAGTAACCAAAGTCGTCCGCAGTGACCACCAGGCGCACGCGAGGGCGGGACATGGCCGCCTGGGCCCACCGCTAGAGCTCCCAGGGGAGTGGACCGGACAGCCCAGGCCCCGCCCCTGGACGCTGCCCATGCCCCGCCCCGACGCACACGCCCAGGCGCGGCTGCGCTTCGCCTTTGTTCTCGCCACCTAGCGGTCCGGCGTGCCCCTGCAAGGACCCGGCAACTGCTCCCGCGCTAACCAGACCAGTGCTGGATTCATTGCAACGCGGAACTTTCCTTGACTGCAAAAGTGATATTTAATATGAAAAATACCAAAAGGAAGTCGGGCGCAGTGGCTCACGCCTGTAATCCCAACACTTTGGGAGGCTGAGGCGGGTGGATCACGAGGTCAGGAGTTCAAGACCAACCTGGCCAACATGGGCAAACCCCGTCTCTACTCAAAATAAAAAAATTAGCCGGGAGTGGTGGCACGCGCCTGTAATTCCAGCTACTCGGGAGGCAGGAGAATTGCTTGAACCCGGAAGGCGGAGGTTGTGGTGAGCCGAGATCACACGACTGCACTCTAGCATGGACGATAGAGCAAGACTCTATCTCAAAAAAAAAAAAAGAAAGAAAGAAAAAAAGAAAAAGGAAAAATACCAAAAAAGAAAAAAAAAATCTCCTACCCTTCCCAGAGATTGCCATTGTTAACTTTCTGGATTGTGTCCTTCCAGTGTTTTCTCTAAGCAAATAAACACACCCAACTCCCTTTCTCCCCAACCCACCTTTTTTGTGTGTTGTTTTGAGAACATAAAGATGATTACACCAATGTTATCACATTCTAGTAGTTTCTTAGATAGCAGTGTGAACGAAAATTTTCATATTATTAGCTATTCTTACTCTTTTTCAAATTGCCTATTGATCTTTTGCAGATTTTTATAAGAGCAGGCATTTTTTGATTGATTGATTTATTTTTTCTTGAGCTCTAGACACTAAGAAAATGAAAGAAAGCATATACACTAATGGGTTTTTTTGAGAAAACATTATCTCCTGTTTCCATCTTGAGCTCTCTGCCAGGCTACAGCTTTTACATTCATAACTTCACTGTTTTTCTCTTTGGTCCAGAAAAGCTTTCCTTACCCATGACTGTATATGGTAGGCAGCCACAGTTTTCACTGCAATGTGGCAGTCTTGATTTTTCCCGTGGTATTTGTGTCCAGACTATGAAATTGGTGATGTCATTCCTGTTTCACAGATTAGGAAACGGGGGGGTCAGAGAGCGAAAGTGTGGTCCTGCCAGGAGTAGTGGAGATAAGACTGAACTTCACAGCTCAGGGCCTGCACCCAGACCTGCTATGTCCTCTCTGTCCCTGACCTAGTGGGTAGCCAGAGCTGAGAGGACAGAGCAGAACTCGAGAGTAACTATATTTCATGAGGTATGTGAGGATTGAAAGCCTCATAGAGTCCTTCAACCATGCTCTTGGCATAACGACTGTTGTGTTTATAGTGACTGGTGAATTGTCAGACCTCAACCAACCACCATTCTCCACTGGAAGCTGATCTTGGAAAGGTCAGAGGTCCCGAGGGTGCGCAGATGGGAAGGAGGAGACTGACATTTATTGAGCACCTACTTGGTGCCAGACACTGGAAGTATTAAAGATTCAGGGTGATTTGCCTCAGTTCTGGCCCCAAAGGAGCACCATCTGGTAGACACATAAGTAGCAACATGGTGTGGTGGAGTCTGGAATGGGGTTTACTGTGAATCGTGTAGGGGGTGGCAGAATTCACAGTAAAAGCTTTTTGGAAGAAGTGACACCATGGTGGGGTATTACTGAGCAAAAGAGAAAAGGAGGGAGGGAGAGGAGGTAAGAATATTCAAGGCTTCACTGGGATACGGGGTGTGTTGTAGGGAGATTGTATTGAATCCCATATTCCCATATTGGAAGAACACTCAAGCCCATTTACAGTGCAGGACCAAAGCTAAGAGAGGCTGAGTCACATTGGCAGGAAAGAGCAGAGCCAGGAACTAAAGCTAGGTCTGTGACTGAGAGCCAGCACTCTCTCCACTGCAGAGGGGAGAGGTCTCAAGGTAGAACCTGGGGCTGTGCACACCGCGGGAGGGGCAGAGGCCCCTGGAAACGAACAGGAGCAGGAGGCCCAGGGCTGCGCAGCGACCAGGGAGGACACGAGGAAGGTGCTTGTGTCACCGGTGGAAGACGTGGCTTTGGCTTTTAGACTCCCCTCGGGGCAGGAGCGGATCATAGAGCCTAGCCCCAGCTTCGGTGGTGGGTGTGGGTCCTCCCGGCAGCGGGGACGTAGGCACCAGCATCTTCAGCCTGCGGCTCCCAGACGAGTGTGGGAGGGCAGAGTCCAGAGAATTGGAGGTTGGGCCAATGTGGGCCCCGCCCCCAACTATTGTGTCGGAGAGGGTAGTGGATGAGCTCCTCTGTAAGAACCAATGAGGATGTGGTATGCAAATAAGCAAGTGGAGGCCGCCAGTCGACTTCCTCGCACTGTGTAGCTGCCCCAGTGAGGGCGCAGACTGTACTGGCCTGCGAGGAGCAAGGCGGTGTTTCTGGTGAGTCCGTTGATTCCGGGCTGGGGCGAAAGACAGGTTGCCCAGGGTTTGGGAGTAGGGAGGGTCAAGCACACGCAGATCCAAAGATGATCGGAGA